TCAGCAGCCACCACCAGTGGTTTACTGGGTACTTCTTAGCATGTCTACTCGGCCAATTTCTGCAGACAACATTAGTACATAATCATCAGACTTTAATTAGTACACAATCACAAGACTCACAACTTGTTTTATACAGAGAACTTACGGAAGACGTTTGAAAAACTCAGTTACAGCTTTATTCTTCGCTGCATCAATGGGAGCAAAAGAATCATATCCAGCGCCTAGTCTAGACAACCTCCTTGTCTTCTCGGAGGTCTTGGCTCGTGACAAAATTCGTGCCCCGACCTTCTTTGACTGCTGTTTCCTTAACTGCACCTCCAAATCCTCTTTCGTTTGTTTCCGCGACTCGACAAATACGACACTATCCACGTCCTCGCGGTTGACACTCTCACATGGTTTTTTCTGAAATAATGCATTATACATGTTACTGAGAAGTAAACGGTTTTATTTATTAGAATTTATTAAAGTAAACGAAACATAAGTCAGATTACACGGTACAGGTACAAATTTTTGAAAACATACAAAAATAGAAAAACATCTAGTTCTTTTTGGAAGACCTCGCTCTTGCCCTAGTAAGCCTAAGAACTGGACTCAACGATGGAATAGCAGGCTTAGCAGTCTTAGAAGTCTTTTTAGTAGATTTGAGAGAGGGATCGGTACTAACCCGACCATCGTTTGACTTGACATGCTCCTCATCCTTTGGCTCTTTCATCTTTGCAACAGTATGTCCACGGCGACAACCTTTTCAGAGAGGAGGTCCAACTTCTTATCGAAGGCCTCAAACCCAGCCTTTATTTCCCCAGACAATGTTCTGCAACATTCTGAGAAATGTTGCTTCATCGCCTCAGCAAGACTCTTCAAACCCTCCTCTTCTATGGCAGCAGGAGGCACTGGACAAGTCTTCTTCATGCTCCCATCGTCTGGGTCAACACGGCTTTCATCATCTTTAACTTTCCTTTTTTGGCCCTTTGTGGCCTCTAACTTCTTAACCCCTTTGGACCGCCAATGACTAGGCTTCCACTTCCAACGACCACCACCAAACTCCCCAAACATGGCTCCCACAACATTCTCGATAAGGACATCGTCTACCTCATCATCCCAGGTAGGGAACATTTCCTCCCGTTCCTTGACATAAAAGTTGTTGAAGCTAACCTGCAAACAATTGGAATATATATGTTACAGAGGTCTATGCAAAGAATTATACTCGAGAGAAGTCTACTCGAGACGAGGAGAAGTCTACTCGAGACGAGGAGAAGTCTACTCGAGACGAGGAGAAGTCTACTCGAGACGAGGAGAAGTCTACTCGAGACGAGGAGAAGTCTACTCGAGACGAGGAGAAGTCTACTCGAGACGAGGAGAAGTCTACTCGAGATGAGGAGAAGTCTACTCGAGACGAGGAGAAGTCTACTCGAGACGAGGAGAAGTCTACTCGAGAAGCAAATATAGTTTAGGATTACCTGTTTCAACATAGCTTCTTTGATGTATTTTCGTCCTCGGCAACCGTTGAAAGCCAGCACCGGTGGAGTTGGGTTGTCGGGAAGAGGATTTCCGTAATGCCTCCCAAAATCTGGCATAGCATAATACGCCCAAACTTGGAGCACTTCGGCAAACCCATAGAGAGTAACAGTCTTCGTCAAATCAGCTCTTTTGACAGACTCTATGAGGGTCTTGAAAGCCACTCTTCCCCACGGGTAATTTGCAAATGCCTCGACATCCATAACTAGCCTGGCATAGTTCAACCGTGTGGGTGAATCCATCTTCCTTGCCTCGATAAATCCAGCGAAGATGGATAAATATCCTAGCATAAGCTTCTCATCCCTTGTCCACTCCCCAGCACGCTTACATGCTTCAGTAAGTTCATCAACGGTGGGGCCAACATCTATACTAACGCCAAGCTTCTCCCAGAAATATTTCATCTCAGGAGTAACTTCTGCTTCCTCCAGTTCCTCAACATCCTCGCAGTTGAGACCGGTGAGTTGTTCAAACTCATTGAGTGAAAACCGAAGTGGGGTTGCATTTATGAGACTCCATATCTCATACTTCTTCTTGCAGTCCAGCTGAAAACCGAGTATAAACTGCACCACCCTCGACGCCCAGCCAAAATTCAGTTTGTAAAACTTTAGAAAAACACCAAGCCTTGATTCCAAAAGCTCTTCCCATATATCTGCTTCCAGTACTGCTTCCAATGCAGGAAACAACTTCCTACTGTTGCTGTAGTAGGCTATACTTTTCCCAGGTTGGGGCTCCTCGTCCTTTGTGAATAATCTCCTTGGAAACTTGGGCTGCTTCTCCATCCTGCAAAACCAAAGATGACATAAATATGTAAGAAATATATAATTATTAGCAAATGGCAGAAGTCTAGTTTAGAAAGAAGTCTACTATTCTCCGAGAAGTCTACTCCCGAAAAAGTCTACTCGAGAAGAAGTCTACTTAGAGAAGTCTACTCGAAAGAGAAGTCTACTCGAGAAAAAAAGTCTACTCGAGAAGAAGTCTACTTAGAGAAGTCTACTCGAGAAGAAGTCTACTTAGAGAAGTCTACTCGAAAGAGAAGTCTACTCGAGAAGAAGTCTACTCGAAAGAGAAGTCTACTCGAAAGCGAAGTCTACTCTAGAGAAGTCTACTTATACGAATTCTAAAATAAATCACTAGTTACATAAATTACCTTTGCGAACACTGAAATCTGGCGGAGACAACCAACAGCGTCGTCGACATCTGTAAATCGAAACAAAAAATTTCCAAATTAGCGGCGGCGATGATATCTAGGGCAAAAAATTGAATCTAACAGATGCCAGACAAAGAGAAATGAGGACAGAATTACCAGCAGTAACAAGGCGACGAGGCGGCGAGGCGACAAGGCAACAGAGGCGGCGATGAAAAGAGATGAACGAAATCGATTAAGGTCAATATACAGATACAGAGATATACAGAAGTGAGAGATCTGAGAGAGGAGAACAGAGATTACCTCCGTTGACAATTTACAAACGGTGGTGATGACTTGAAGCAGCGGCGGCGACGATGGTATGAACGGCGACAGAAATGGCGAAAGAAATCGCCTAAACGCTGGTTACGAGTCGAGAGAAACTAGGGTTTGTGGAATGGGTTACTTTCTGGTAAAAAATGAAATATATAGGCCGGTTACAAATGGGTTAGTAATATTATTCGGTTCAGTGATTATTTTTATTTTACTCGGACATAACCGGTCAAAGAAGTCTACTTTTGATTCTAATTCGGTAAGAGAAGTCTACTAGATAGAAGTCTACTTTGGTCCGAGACGTCTACTCGAGAGAAGTCTACTTCGGTCCGAGAAGTCTACTTAACCCTAACCCCTAAATCAATTTTTTTTTTAATTAAAACTTATATGAAAACATTAATTACTTACCATATTGACAAGTCATAGTTAAAATAACAAATATATGAACCATGATTCATTAACTGAACCATAAACTATGATTCATATAGAATTTGTGCAAACCCTAAGAATTACACTCTTATACCCTAAACCCTAAACCTCAACCCTAACCCCTTTTGATTTGTATATTTATGAAACTTATAAATTGATTCATTTTCATGATTTTTTTTTTATACAGATGCTAAATGTATCTTTTTTAATTGTGTATATAATGTTTTTACCAAATTATTTTTCATAATTTTTAAAATTAGTGGTAAAGAAATTAAAAGAAAGTAGACTTCTCCAAGAAGTCTACTCCTAAGAAGTCTACTTTAGAATCCGAGAAGTCTACTTAGTATTGATTTCTAACCTAATTTATCTATGAATATTTAAATTAATTATTTTGTGTCAAATTTTATTTTTAATAGGTGTAAAAAGTATATGTTTTTGTTATTTTGATAATTTTTTCACCAAATTATTTTTCATAATTTTTTTAATTAATGGTAAAGACATTATTCGAAAGTAGACTTCTCGACTTCTCGGAGAAGTCTACTCGAGAAGTCTACTCGAGCTCGAGTAGACTTCTCGGGGATAAAATAGTCAATGCGACGAGCGTTTTTTGTTTGGTCAGAAGGGATAATATTGTAATTTACTCTGTGAGTTATTTTTGTCAAACATGCAATAGGGGGTCTAGTTTTGCAATTCAAATCAAGTTTTGAGTCATATTCAGCAATTCCCCCTTGTATTTATGATTTTGTATGAGTACAGATAAAACGAAGAAATTGGGATAAAAATCCACTGATTCACATATCCCACAACACCTTTTCCACCAAATTTTTCATGATCTATTTCATGTTATTTTTAGTTATCTATTAAATATAGTAACTTAGAGAAGTTTTTTAATTCCATTCAAATGAACTGAGAGAAAAAGAGCAAATAACAAAGTTTTTTTTTAAAAAAATTAATTTAATTTTTTGGTTATTTGTTTAGTTGTCAAAAAATTTAATTTTCAAAAAATACTAACAATATATAATTAAAAGAATGAGCATAAAAGGTTCGTCATATAGTAAAAATTGCTTAAACATAAACAATTCTATTTTGATAAATTATTTCTTATACATTATGAGCTATATCAATATTTTTAAAAAATTGACAAAATTTCTGCAATATATACAATTTAATGTCTAATAGCATTTGAACATAGCTTTTGAATGATTTAAATTAATCTTAATACAATACAAATATAAAATATAATAAATATTTGCGTAGAACAATCCCTAGTACTACTAAAGTCTGTCTGGTGTTTAATTCAACACATCGAAAACAGTAACAAAAGCAATTCTTAAGATCTAATGATCTTCTTCATCCTATCTCTAAGACTAGCATTTGATTTATCTAAGGCAAAAGTTTGAAAAATCTCCATCCATTCAAAATCCTAGTAAAAAACAAAATAAATAGAAAATTACTATTTCTTAATGGTGACTCAGTACACATGTTTAGTAGTCATTAATTGCATGAGACGTTACAAACATATCTTTAGTGACGGGTGGGATCATTGCATGAGAGCTTTCAGTATAAAAATTATCTATATAACTTTTAACTCCCATGATCAATTCAACCAACAACAAAAATTTCTTAGATCTAATGGAAACCTCTATCATAGTTTTATCTCTCGCCTTCTTCCTTTTCATTTCTCTAAAACTTTTGTTTGGTAAACGGCATAACAAGTTTAACCTACCACCAAGTCCGGCGAGGCCAGTGCCATTGATTGGACACCTACACCTACTCAAGCAGCCGCTCCACCGCACATTCCTCTCCGTCTCTCAATCCCTCGGTGGTGCCCCAATCTTCTCCCTCCGCCTCGGAAACCGTCTCGCGGTTATCGTCTCCTCTTACTCCGTCGCTGAAGAATGCTTTACCAAAAATGACATCGTTTTGGCCAATAGGCCAGAGTCCATTGTCGGTAAGTACATTGAGTATAACTTCACCACCATGACCAGTGCGCCTTATGGTGACCACTGGCGAAACTTGCGGCGGATCAGCACCCTCGAGATCTTCTCGTCCCACAAACTCAATGGCTTTTTATCCGTCCGTAAGGACGAGATCCGTTACTTGTTGTTGCGTCTCTACAAGAATTCGCAACATGTATGTAAGCTTTTTACATATCAGTATTACAAGGCCATGCGCAAATATTTATTAGAAGTATATAAATTTGCCGTATTAAAATATTCTTTTTTGAAAAAAAATTTTAGAACACAATTTATATGCATTTTTAATAAATTTCATACTTTTTGTATTTTTTTATTTTTAGTCGAGCCTTCATTGCGGAAATTAGGGTCTCTTAATAAGCTCACAAACATGTTTATATATATTTTATACGAAAGGAAATTTGAGAAATTAATCATTTGTTTGTGTGATTACAAATTAGGGGTTTGCGAAGGTGGAGATGAGATCCTTGTTTATGGATTTGACTCTCAATAACATTCTTAGAATGGTGGCTGGGAAACGATTCTATGGCGACGGAACAGAGGACGACGACAATGCGCGGCGAGTGAGACTTCTGATTGACGAGGTGGTGTTCAACGCCGGCGCCGGCAACGCTAACGATTATATCCCAATCTTGCGTTGGATCACAAATTTTGAGAAACGGATCAAGAACTTAGCAGATCGGATCGACGAGTTTCTGCAGAGTCTTGTGGATGAGAAACGTGCAGATAAAGAAAAGGGCGACACGATGATGGATCGCTTGCTTTCTCTCCAAGAAACTCAGCCAGATTATTATACAGATGTTACTCTTAAAGGAATCATGATAGTAAGTAAAATGCAAATTACTAATTTTATTTTTGTCTTGCATTATGCTTCTAGTGTCATAACAACATTATAGTACTACACGTCTTTTTCATGAGAAGTCCATTTGTAAGAAAGAACCTTTATTAGGTATAATGATGTATAAGGTATAATTATTGATTTTAATTTTACAGGTTATGATTCTTGCCGGGACTGAAACATTAGCAGGGACGTTAGAATGGGCGATGTTGAATTTGTTGAATCATCCAGAGGTGTTAAGGAAAGTGAGAACCGAGATCGATACCAAGATCGGTTTTGACCGGTTAATAGATGAACCGGATACTAAAAATCTCCCTTATCTCCAAGGGATTGTGTTGGAGACCTTACGTCTTCACCCGGCAGCTCCGACACTTGTGCCACATATGACGTCAGATGATTGCGTAATGGCAGGGTACGATGTTCCACGTGGAACAATGTTATTGGTGAATGTATGGGCCATGCATAGAGACCCCTCAATATGGGAAGATCCAGAAATGTTCAAGCCTGAGAGGTACGAAAACGAAAAGGAAAATCAAAAGGTGTTGACGTTTGGGATTGGACGAAGGTCTTGTCCTGGGGTCGGGCTAACTCATCGCCTAATGAGTTTGGCTCTCGGATCGATGATTCAGTGTTTCGAATGGGAGAGGATTGGAGAAGAATATATTGAGACTAGAGAAGCACCCATGATGCGTCCAGTGACTCCGTTGCTAGCCATGTGTAAAGCTCGTCCCATTGTCCATAAGATTCTCGATGCTTTTGCTTGAAGTGTCTCTCGTTTGTCTTTATGTTCGGACATTAATAATATCTTGTTTATAAAGTCTTGTTTCTTAATTATGATTTTGTAGACTATAAATTGGACTCTTGATCGATGATTATTTGTTATAAATTTTTATGTAATTGAGTTTTTGGTTTTATATATCTTCCGTAAATTCAAATATTGGAAAACCAGCCCGGATATAGTAATCAGTAAATTGAGGCATGATCATAAGATTTGGTTCTTCTATATTCAGTGACGTGAACTTGGTATATGATTTTTGTTATATTCTGTCAATTACGATCAATAATCAATATAATAATAACACTCAAGTCTCTCTATAAGTTTGAGAAGTAGACACATCAGCTATTTTACAAACTAATCAAATTAAAACATTAATACAACTCATCTACTTATTTTAATTTTTATATTTAAACCCATTAAAAACTCAAATACATTTTTTTGTTAATAATTTGTTTTATTTTTTAATAAATCAAAGCCCAAATAATAAATAACAGCAAATAAAAAGAATCTTTGTTTTATTGTTTGCCAAATCCAAGACCAAATAATAAATAATAGCAAATAAAAAAAATTTAAATCTTTATTTTAATTTTTGCCAAACCCAAACCCAAATAATAACTAACAGCAAATAAATAAAATAATTTTTAGCTATTTGTTTGTTCCACATAGACGTATATATTGAAAAAGTGTAGGCTCATCATCAACTATGTTTCCATAACAACAACTCAAAAACCTTATGTTATAAGAAGCTCACACATCAGCAAAAATTTGAACCAATAAAAACATAACAATAATACATATCATTAACACACTCATAAAATCAGTTTAGTATTTTGCAGACCCATTAAAAAGTCCAAAAGTTAACAAAAAAATGGAAGTCGAAAGCAAATGAGGAGAAGCTCAGACCACCATAAGTTGGAGATTCGCATTCCAGTGGTTACTCAGAACAAATTTTCATGGGTTTAGCGGGAATAGGGAATCCTTGGTTTCGGTAGAAAAATGTGATTTTCAGTGTTGCTAGGAAAACATAATTTCTTGGTTATGACAGAAAAATGAATAATCGGGTTTTGCGGAAAAATGTGAATTTTGGTTTTGGTGAGAAAACAAAAAAATTGATTTTGACGCGAAAACAAAATATTAGTTTTGACGAGAAAATGCGAGGGAAATGCAACTTTTCAATTGACAAAAATACGATTTCTTGGTTTTGATAGGAAATGCAAATTTTTGGCTTTTGATGGATAATGTGATTTCTTGATTTTTGCGGGAAAATGTGATTTCTTAGTTTTTATGGGAAATTGTAATTTGACGATTTTGGCGGAAAATGCAATTTCTTAGTATGATGGGAAAACAAAATTTCTCGATTTTGGAAGGAATAAGCAATTTCTCGGTTTTGATGAGAAATACAAATTTTCAGTTTTTGACATATTATGTGATTTTTGGTTTTCGCGGTAAAATGCGATTTCTTAGTTTTCGGGGAAAACGCAATTTCTCAGGAGATAATGCATTTTTTGGTTTTCGCGGGAAATTGTAGTTTATCAGTTTTGATAGGAAAGCCTGATTTTTGGTTTGATGATTTTTTTTTTTTTGCGGGAATTGACGATTTCTCGGTTTTTATGGGAAAATAATTTTTTTGGTGTTGGTGAAAAAACTTGATTTCTCTGTTTTGACAGAAAAACACAGGTTTTCGCAGGAAAATGTGATTTTTTTTTTTGTTTTTGCTGGAAAATGCATATTCTCTGTTTTGGTGTGAAAATAAAATTTCAGGTTTGACGAGAAAATGAATGTTTTTGGCTTTGACGGGAATATGTGAAATGAAATTTTTTAGTTTTGTCGGAAAGTGCAATTTCTCAGTTTTTTTTTTAAATGATAATTTTCTTTATATAATTTCAAAGGAGGATCAAGTGGCAATTTAGTAGAGATAACAAATTACATTTGCCATTAGCATAAATATATTTAAAAATGTATTGTTTTATTCTTACATATACATTTATAGATAGTTAGCTAAACAAATTTGATAGTAAATTATAATTTTGAAAAATAAAAGAAATTAAAGATTATAATGTTTATTCAGATTTAAAACATTTAAATACATAACTTAAGCTAATAAAAATATACATATAATACTCATTTACATTATAAAAATAATTTTATTATATTAAAAATATATACAAAATATATAATTATACCTAGTCCTATTATAATTATATAAGTGATGATCAATCAATTGAATTCAGCTATCCACTTGTACTTGCAGCATATGCGATTATGAAAAAAAATTACACAAACAAGACATGGATCCATGAACCTGCACTATATCCCCAATGGACAGCTCTCTCCTGTAACACACAAGAACCTCTAATAAGATTTGCATCCAATAATCTAGTAATCAAACTGCATTTTCTAGAAATTAACCCCAAACTTGTTGTAGAAAGCTTTAAACCTTGAACATTAATTATGCCAAAAGACTTCCAGTTCCAGTAACTTGGTATATGATTTATATTACTCGAATGTGGGTTTCAAAAAGATTTGTTTATTTTCAAAATTAGTTACATCTACTGCTAACTAAAAATTAGTGACAACAAAAAATGATATTAAATATAAATTTGTCAAAAAATAGAAATAAAACTAAGTGATAGTAGATTAGTGGTTCCCACTGTTATGTTGGTTTAGATCAGGGATGAAGAATATTATGTCACACGGCTACACTTATCCTCGAAGAACTGTTTAGGTGGTAAAACTCCAAATCTCGCACTGTTATAAAAGTTTGATAGAAATAGTTGGACAAAAATATAAATCAAACCTTCAGTCTAACACTAGAGATTCTGAACCAAAATCATGGATTTTCCTATATAAAAGAAAAGTGAAAAATGCGAGAAGACTGAGTCAATAAATTATTTACTTAGTTCTTCTTCTACATTACTTGGTCAGTTACATCGTTTTAAGATGCTGCAATTTGATACTATAATAATATACATTATTACTATATACTCTAGTATTGTATTTTTTTTTTTTTGAATTATCAGGAGGTTATGGGCCAAAGTCCGTAATACCTCCAGGTCCAAAACCATAGCATATAATATTGATTTTGTCCCAAACGTTACTTGATCCTATGACCTCTAAACTTTGCATAGGGTTCCTTTACCAGTCGAGTTAGCAACACTTGGTCTCTAGTACTGTATCATATTTTGTTTTGCTTTTGTTGTGAATAAACTAAGTTATCAACCTTACGTAAGACAACTTTCGGTGTAAAAGTTATTGTTGGACCAGGATTTGTCACCAAATCCAGCCTGCTGACTGGCCCATTAAAACCATTCTCGGAGGATGTCTGCATTCCAGATGTATGACCCAACAAAAGAGTTAAGGGGAGAACGGTTCAAAAGAGTAACGCGAAATCCGGGGTGTGCGGGCAACGGACTGCGGGATACGCGCTGAAGCTAATTGAAAGAGGGGAGTATTTAAAAGAAAAAAGAGTTTTTTTTGGAACGAGGACGACAAAAAATACATACGAACTAAAGCAATATTCGCTCTACGAACTCTTGTATCAAATTACATCGACCTCTTGTAAACGATCTCTCAATTCAATCAATACAAAAGTCCATTTATCTATTCTCGATCTTAAGTTCAGTTGCTCAATAGAGATTCTTACCCAACGTTTCTCTAACTTCATCTAAATCACTTCATAAATCTTGAGTGTGGATATCTGCAGTTATGTTATTGTTTAGTCTGTGGAGATTATTGTCCCATTAAAAATAGAATTTGTTAGATGGAAGAACTTGATAGACACCAAAACCAGGGGCGAACGAAGACAAACAAGGCATACTCGACGTTATAATTAGTTTAAAATATTCGTATCGTTTCACATATATCTAGACAACAAAGAAATATACAGTAATTCGATTAGATTAATTTATTTTTAGTATCACAACGCAATTGAACATAACATATCAATCAAACTCGAACAAAGAAAAAATGTATCATGACAAAAGAAACCAAACAAACAAACAAACAATTATATTTCTCAAACTATTCAGTTTTGTTTCACGGGGGAAAAGACGAAAGACCATGACTTGAAAAGTAAGCCGAACTCTGCTCTGAACTCCAACAATTTCAAAGTCTCTCTTTCTTTTTCAACCTTATCTTCTTCCTGAGAGCTCTCTTTTATCTCGACCACATGATTATGATTACCCAAAGGAAATCGTCTCTTCTTGACTTGTACTCTTTTGTAATGTATATATAATTTCTTTTTCATTAATTTGGTTGTGTATATCGTTTAATTTGGTTGGACCAAAATGTTTGGAACACAAATACATTTACTCTGTTTGCTCAACGTGAATAACACTTCGTACAAAGACTTGATGGTGAGTCAATCTGGAGCACTCTCTATATGCAATCTATATAAAGAGATGGGCATGAAACCATGTTTTGCTATCACCATTTCTATTTTTCGTTTCTTCATTATTGATATTAAAGAAAATTAAACTAGTTTTAAAAGAAGAACGAAAGCCTCTTGGAACTCAATGAGTACCATTCATATTACTTTTTCTTTTCTTTTATCGTTCATATTTTATTTTCAAAACGTCTTTGCGGTTCCTACTATACATTTGTGTCGTCCTGAACAAACGGATGCACTTCTCGAGTTCAAGAACAAGTTTAGGATTGGGAAGCCTTCTTCTGTTGGTGCTTGTGATATTAGCCCATATCCGAAGATGGAGTCATGGGCAAATAGCAGTGATTGTTATTATTGGGATGATATCATGTGTAAAAGTAGTTAGAATAGTAACACTAGTATTCATAAAAATTATTTACGCAATTTTGATTTTAATAGATACCTATTTCATATTGTTTTCTTATATGGAGTTATTTTAGAATATTTCATCTACAAAAAGTGAAAAAAATGCGAGAAGACTGAGTCAATAACTACTTAATTCTTTATTTTTCAACCCTCTTTACATCGACCACATAATGTAAAACTGATTTTCATGGAATATCTCAGAAACCTCTTTACATCGACCACATGATTATCATTACCCGTAACAAATCGTCTCTTCTTGACTTGTATTCTTTTGGTTGGACCAACAACTTTTTGAACTTTCTTGTAAGAAAAGTAAAACCAAAATGTTTGAAACTCGACTATATTCAACACAAATACATTTACTGTGACGTTTGCTCAACGT